CAGAATTCCCCAGCCAGCTTGCTTTGAGATGGATGGACTTCAACTCCCAGAATTCCCCAGCCAGCTTGCTTTGAGATGGATGGATTTCAACTCCCAGAATTCCCCAGCCAGCATGCTGTGAGATGGACTTCAACTCCCAGAATTCCCCAGCCAGCTTGCTTTGAGATGGGTGGACTTCAACTCCCAGAATTCCCCAGCCAGCATGCTGTGAGATGGATGGACTTCAACTCCCAGAATTCCTCAGCCAGCATGCTGTGAGATGGATGGACTTCAACTCCCAGAATTCCCCAGCCAGCTTGCTTTGAGATGGGTGGACTTCAATTCCTAGAATTTCCCAGCCAGGATGCTTTGAGATGGGTGGGAATCCCCAGAATTCCCCAGCCATCATGCTATGAGAGGGATGAACTTCAACTCCCAGAATTCCCCAACTGGCATGCTTTAAGATGGGTGGACTTCAACTCCCAGAATTCCCTAGCGAGGCATAAAGCTGAGGAATTCTGGGAGTTGAACTCCACGCATCTTCAATTTGCCAAGGTTGAGCAAGATAGCTGTAGATCTTTGTCTGTATTGGCATGTACGAATCTGAAACAGTAACATTTAACCAGATATTTTGAGACCTTGGCATTCAATTAATGATTGAGCGAACCTGTTACGCGAGTCTGAAATAATTGCATCATTCTAAGCTGAAGCAAGAGCCAGGCAAAGTTTTATTTATTTATTTTTAATTGCTTTTATAATAACCCAAAAAGAAAAAAAAGAAGAAACCAAACCTAAGGATCATTATAATGCTAATGTGTACTGTACATTTTGAAAGAAGCAAAGAAGGTACACATAAAAAGCAATTTAAAAAGTGGAAACAAATACAACAGATAAAAAAAGAAAATAACGAAGTGCAATATATCATTATAGCAATTAAGTTACAAAAGAGCCAGACAACTTATTGTTCCGTTTAGGTTTTACATCCACTTTCTATGCAAGAAACCAATTTTAACCATTTAAATTTCAGTCTTGTAGATCTTCCAATTGTCAAATGAGTCAGAAATCAAAACAGTAACTCAAGAAATAAGAAATTTTTTATGTTTAGAAAAGAGGAAGAAATTAAAACCATCTTACGGTTTCTTTGTTTTTTGCTTTTAACTCACTTGTTAAGTACACGCAGTCCTCAACTTACAAGAGTTTGTTTAGTGGCTGTTCAATTACAACGGCACTGAAAAAAACAACATGACCATTTTTCACACTTATGACCATTTCAGCATCCCCGTGACGACATGATCAAAATTCATACTCTTGGCAACTGACTCACATTTATGACGGTTGCAGTGTCCCGGAGTCCCACACTCCCCATTTGCGACCTTCCGACAAGCAAAGTCAATGGGGAAGCAAGATTCATTTAACAATCATGTCACTGCCTTAACAACTGCAGTGATTCACTTAACAACTGTAGCAAGAAAGGACGTAAAACGGGACACAATTCATTTAACAAATGTTTCGCTTAGCAAGCTAAATTTTGGGCTCATTTGTGGTCGCAATTCAAGGACTACCTGTAACTTTGTGGGGATTTTCTTACCAAGTAGACCCTCATTAGATCATTTCTTTCAAATGTTTAGAGGCGCTGAGTGACTCACAATTGCAAAAATAATAAACAGCCCTAGAAAAGGAAATAAGTTATGAACAGACATATATGCCAAAACCCCATTCAAGAGAGGCTCAGCTATCATCTTGTTCAATGCCTGAGAGA